AATGCACTTAACTAAGTTGTTTTGATAGTGCACTATTATTTTAATGTTCTTCTTTCATCTTAAACTGTACTCCAAAGGCTGTGGTTTATATTAACGTAGAGGAAATTCTATTATATAATAGGCATAGACAGACTAGAGAAACCCAACAAAATAAAATTGCCTGGGTAGTTTGTTACATTTCTAAATAAAGAATTTTCTTTTTCTTTTTCTTTCTTTTCCAAGTACACATACACTTTTGCTGGTTTTGTGTTGTGGGAGTGAATGAACCTCATGGAAGCTAACACATTCTAATGGACAGAGGAGTCATGATACATGTGTATGACCCCATTCATTCTCAGATTGCTTAGCACATATTTTTGGCAATATTTGTTTTCCTGCCTAATGCTAACATAAGTTTATGGCTATGAAAACAAGTGGAGAAGTCATTCATTCATTGCTCTTGCCAGAAATGCCTTCAGCTCCCACAGTAGTTGTGTGTCAAGATCTTGCCCTACTTAAAAGGAAGACATAAGATTTATTCTGGAAATTTACCAGGACAGGCCAGCCCTCAAAAATATGGAGGAAAAGAGCTCTGTAGCTAAATTAAAATAAACTTAAGTCACACTTGACGTATTGTGCTTAAGATAACTCCATCTAAAAATATATATGCAGGTTGTAGAGGGTCTCAGTCCTTGTTCAAAGTGGACACCAAATATGGAAGAGAGATTCAAGAATTACCTAAAAACAGATGAATAAAAGACAGTTGAAGGGCCAGCCCCATGGCCTACTGGTTAAGTTCAGTACGCTCTGCCTCAGCTGCCTGGGTTCGCAGGTTCGGATCCCGGTCATGGACCTACACCACTGTCAGCCTGCTGTGGCGGGCGACCCACATATAAAGTGGAGGAATATTGGCACCGATGTTAGCTCAGGGCTAATCTTCCTCAGCAAACAAAAGAGGAGGATTGGTAGCAGATGTTAGCTCAGGGCTGATGTTCCTCATTAAAAAAAAAAGGTGAATAAAAAAGGAATAATATTTTCATGATTTGTCACTTATCTGCATATTTTGACTTACTTGGAGTTCTTTTTTTCCTCATGTAAATTAACCTAAGCCTGACTTAGGGCCCGTAGTTTATGTAAGTGTAAAAAAGCATCTGAGTAATTGCCTGCATTCTAATGAAATGTAAAATTTACATGGAGGAGAAAGAAGTGATTAGAACTGGTGGATGTTAAAGTTAGAATATATTTCTAACTATTTTAACCTGCAGTATATTTTCTCAAACCATGGTTCAGTTTAACTTTTTTTATGGCAAAAAAAATCCAGGACAGCTGAGATAATTCGGGAAATATTAATTGCTATATCGCAGCAAGGTGAATGAGAGAATAGTAGAACATATGGTTCCTGTCTTTAGGAAACTTAAAATCTTGTTAGGAAGATAGAATATCACAGATAGAATATCTAAACTACAAGATGGCAAATTGATATAAAAATATTTTGAAAGAGATGAAAGGAGAGAGAAGTGTGATTTGGTGCTAGAACTTTCTGCTGGGATAAACTCTTAGCCAATTTCCAGAAAGGAATAAAGCAATGTATCTCATGCTCTCATGCTCTCACTTAACTGAGAGGCCAGTGAAAATGTTTTGTTATAGCTGTGCGGGATTCTGTTCTCTCTATACCTCTTCACATTTTCCTCCACTTTCAATTTTGAAAGAAATTCTTCCCTCTGGCTTTCTCCAATTAACAGCTCTTGTCTTTGCCTTGAAGTGAAGAGTTACAGAGCCCTGGTCTCTGATTTCTTGCAAAGCTCTTTGCCTTTGCTCTCCCGGGGCTACATTACATTTCTGCAGTGCGAAATGAGTCTCCAATCCAAATGTAGCTGTTTTATTACATACTCTGTAGCTAAGCTGCTTTAGGCCAGACGTTACCGCATCTCTCAGCAGCAGAGTTTGAGTTTGTCAAGTTGTACAGGTTTGTCGTCTCCTTTTAAATGCAGTTTTACATATTTTAAAACTTGTTTGGATTTTGAGTAATGGTCTCCTTGGTGCTCTGATGTTTACAAAATGATGTCAGTGCTTGAAGGTAGAGGATTGCCATGGTAGATATTTCCCCTTCTCTTCAGAGGATATATGGAGGGGAGGAGGACCCATTGCCTGAATCTCCGTGGGTGGGAAAAATGGATAAACACAGGCAACCTGCAGAGCTGCTTCCAAGTCAATTGTAGAAGCTTCCATAATTAGCCAAAATTCTTCACGTAACTTTAAATTGAAAGTGCCAGAGAGATTTATGTGAAAATTCTGAAACTCAGAATTTAAATTCAAAAGGTAAGAATGTCTTGCTTACCGTCTTTCACAAATGTTTGAAAATATAGATAAATAATTGATAGATATTAATTTTGAATTTGGTAGTGTAATAGGTTTGAGAGCTGTAATGTCCTTACTTAGTTCTCTTTTAGTAAAGTCTTTTAAACTTTTTCTTACTGTCTTTGGTCATTTGGAGAAACTAAGAATATTGCTAGGGTAAACAGTATAGGGGATGCCAATGAATATTTCTGAAGTTCTGGTATTTTCCGGTTTTAGAAATGTGAAACAAAAATGTGGGAAGAATGTAGGAGAAGAGTGTAAAGTGATTTTGCAGTAGAGTGTTACAGCCAGGCATGTGGTGGATCTTAGTGAAAATTTCGAGGTAATTGTATTAAAAAACACACATACAGAAACTTTAGTATTTTAGATTAATAGAAAAATCACCCCCATGCTCCCAAGTAAAGTCTTCATAATTCTTAACAAACACTAGTCTTATCTGACCTGCTAATTATGTCTATGAAAATAGACAATTCGTTTTTCCTAAAATATATGAAAATAATAATCATAAAAGCAATTAGGAATGCTTTACTGTGTTAAATGTTATACACAAAAATATATATTGATACTGTTATCTCTATAGAATTCCAACTTGAAGACCATGAAGAATGATACAGTGGCTGAGAGCTACTCTAATATTTCAAAAATCCTAAGGTTGCACAGCTTACCAAATAGGAATCAGAAGTCTTTCTTTAATTTGACATTATTAACTTAGTTTGGTGAACACTACTCAGAAGCCCTAATTTGCAGTCATGTATCTTTGTGAGTAAAAGTGAATTAATCTGTTATTTCTCGTTGAATACAGTTTATTAAGTAGTTGGTATAATGCAATGTCAAAGGCAGGAAAATAGAGGAAAAGTCCGAAGTAGTGTGAAATTTGAAAAACACTGGTTTTTTTTATATTAATACATGTGTTTTTATCATTAGTTATTAAAAAGTTGGAATTGAAGCTGGCCGTATTCCTTGAATTGAGTTCAGTCAACTCTTGTCACTTGATTTTATTTATCTGAACTTATTTGTAGAGTTTTTATATTGATTTTTTAATATCGTCACTTGACTTGAAACTTTATCCTAAAAAGCCGTGATTCTGTGCCTAAATTAAACACACGTCTTGGTTCGTATTATTGGTTTCTTCAGTGCTACGTTTTCTTTTAAAAAGACTAAAATTGAACTCTCAACTTCCTTTATTCACGAAGGAATTAATGCAAATAATTATTCTTTTGCATTTTTGTTGTTAGTTCATAATGTTGGTAATATAACTATGTTAGGATCATTTTCCCATCCACGTGAGTAGTTTCAGAGATCCCAAGACAGAGCAAAATTGACTTATTGTGAAAATATTATTTCAACTTTGGAAAATGAGAGGCCCATTTAGGGCCCATATTCAACTTTTTTATTTTAACTTGAATTAACTCATTATACAGTGTTTGGAATATTGTTCTTTTCTGGTGACTGTTTAAATAGTTTTGGCTTTAATTTTGATTTTAAGACACAAATTTAAAACTTCATAGATATTGCAAGTAACGCATTTGTTTTATTTCTAGTCTAGTTATTTTAACCTGTTTCTAATTATTGTTCATTAAAAAATTTTTTTCGTTACTTACCTAACCTAAATTTAAGTATGTCTTGACTAAAATTTGTGTACAAGTGTATTTACTTATATTTGGTTTGGTAAACTCTTTTTTTGAGCATTTTCTCAATTGGGTACAATCTTATCATTGAACATACACGTCTGTCTATCTGCAGTGTGTTGAATAAAAGACCTGATGCGTTATAGTGACCCAGAGGTAGGGAGATAATTATTGCGTAAATTAGGTCATTTTTGTGAGTGAATGGGGAAGCTATTAAGAATTATTTCTGGATAACAAGCATAAACTGGGATTGTCCTGGGTAAATGGGGTGCATAATCACCCTCCCAGGAGACTGCAAGATCCCGCAGTACCTTCTAAATCACTCAGGGGAAAAAGTGAGTTTATATTCATAGTGGTTTTAGAATTAAATATACTTCATTCCGTGTTTTTGGAAAGTTATTTCCCTTTCGTGAAGTTGAAGAGGATAATTGATAAACCAGAACAGCTACTTTCTTGCCCGTGTCTACTAACCAAGAGAGCGTTACCTGTGCACGCACACTCTTCTGTGAAGCCATTTGAATGTTTTATTAAAGGTATTTTGGGAGGTAAAACAGTTTGCTTGCAGTAACAGATTATTTTTTTTAAGTAGTAGAAATCAAGAGTTGTTTTTAAAAACGTAGAATATATTTTACCAAGATTGGTTTTGCCTCCTTTTCTCCCCTTCTTGCTCGTTGTCATTCTACTACTGGGAATTGGCACCAAATAGCCATCTGCTTTCAGAGGCTCTGTCAACACATTCATTTTGGGAAGCTCCGTAGCTACTCAACGACAGAGCACAAAACAGAGAAAGCCTGCACTCTAACCTGCTATAAGTTGGTTTACTTGTCTTGGTTGATTTCTACTTCAGAGCATGTTGAAATTCAACTGAAAGGGTCAAAATGGATTTTGGGACTGAAAAGAAGTAATATTTCCAAATAAGTATCTTGGACGTAGGCAAGGTATATTTGCTATGTGTATATATCTCTTTGTTTTTAGAAACAGTCTTAGCTCATTGATATGAGAATTGCATAAGGCTATTTTTTAAAAAGTACTTACCTTGCATGAGAATTTCAGTGATACATTTTGAGTTCCATGTGTTCCACATCCTTTTATCTCGTGGAATTTACAAAAGTTGTTTTATTAAAAATTTCTAGAATGAAAAACACAAAAAGAATAAATAGTGGTTAAATAGCCATAGTCTTCAAGTTTCAAAATGTAGTTCTGCAATTGTAAGAGGATAAGGTTGGAATTTTGCTCTAGAAGACTTATAAAACAGATCTAATTTACTTTAGTACTTGAGAATTCATTGGTATTTTAGGAAGAAGAATAAACTTGGGGAAACAATTAGTTATATTTACTCAGTTAGAACTAATGCAGAAGGCCAGCAACACAGGGGAGGGCATTCTCGAAATTGCTACTATTATGTATGTTATACTTCCTTTTGGCATTTGAGCTTCCAAATGTATTCCATCAACTCTGTGTGCAGTGTTTCTTTTTTTGACAGGGGCATGTAGAGGGAGGGCTTTTTCTAATTCAGCCAGGCTTCATGACCCACTAATTTGGCATCATTTTTTAAAAAGAACACATGAGAAGCTAAAACCCAGATGGGGAAGTGACTTGCCTTGTGTTCGGAAACTTGACCTACCCAGAACATGTATTTTACAGATGAGGAAACAGACCCCTATGGAGCCCGGAGTTCACACAGGTGTTAATGTAGACCTGGGACTACAACTCATGTCCCCTGGCTCCCAGTTCCAGCTGCTTTCTACCATGGAGCACTACATCTTCAGCTGCGCCCATGCACGTTTGTATTTCATGCCTCTGAGTCTTGTTCTTCCTGGGCAAATCCAGTGATCACAAGCTCCAGTGCCTACTGGGACCAATGAGGTTATGTGAGGAACTGGGCTCAGTGGAGGGTGACAGATTCTGCTGGGGACCGTGGCAAACCAGAGAGTACAGTCCTGCCTGACGAAAAAGGCTTCAGGTCCTCCTTGCAGGAGAATGGGCCTGATACGGGGACAGCTTCTAGTTTTTCAAGAAAAGCCGGAAATCTCAATTTTTATTTGAAATTTCTCAGGCAGCACAGGCCAAAGAAAACTTGCATGCAGGTGGGCATTTGCCAGCTGCCTGCCAGATTGCAACGTCCAGTGAAGTGCGTGTTTCCCCTCTCCCTAACCGCAGCAATTAAGAATAGGCCCAGTTGCTTAAAACACCCAAGGTGCCATTTATGCATTCTCTCTTTCAATCCTCTCAACAACCCAGGGAAGTACTGAAGATGAGGAAACTGAGGCTCTGCCAGTTTAAAGTAATTTCTAAAGTCCAACAGCCAAATACAGGGCTGGGATTGAAGCCTTGACCTGTCTGATCTGCAGCTTTTAACGTTACCCTCACACCCTTGAGCCTCCCTGATGATTCAGCCATCACTGGTTGAATTAAAGCTACTGGTGAATCTGTAGTTTTCCAAAGTCCATTCAATTCAGCTTTCCAAACATGTATCGCATTACCACTATGGAAAAAGCATTGTGTGCCCTGAAGCTGAAGGGTAACGTTGCATAAAGCATGATATTTGGCCTGGTGAACCAGCCAGGCATAAACTAATAATTATTTTAAGCATGGACCGTGATAATTTCTAGAATTTAAGTCACATCTCTGGTGTAATAAATTTCTAACTGCTTATTTAGTTGGCTCCTATCTGGGTTGATATATATTTCTTCTCATTTTTCTTCTGGAAAAAAAATCAATAAATTATTTGTATACCTCTAATAGAGGTGAAATTAAGGCTTTTGAAAACCTTTTTAGGGGAATGATATTTTTGACATTTATTCCTAAAGATAACATTGCTTCAATTTGATTTATTGTGTATTTGGAATTGGAACTCTAATTGACTGTTTACATTTGATTTTTTTTTGCACATCATTTTAACTGCAATTATGAAAATTCTTTTGTTAATTATCTTATTCTTTCAACTTTGAATACAGTAGCATCATTGTCAGTTTAGTGAAACTAGTATAATCATTGTTTTGAAAATTTCTAATATTTTTATTACCTTCTCTCTCTCTCTTCGGTACAGTCATGCATTCTTTCACAAGGTTTACCCATAATCAATTGCTCAGCCACATTTCATTCCGACTACAACCATAACTTTTCGTCTGTTCTAATGTCTGTTTCTGCTACATGCAGAGATGATCAGTTATGTCAAAAGAGAGGTGATGGGAGATCTCTAAGGAGCGGCTGCAGTGGATGCTGTTGGTTCCCTGTTCTGATCTCCTTTACTGGCCCAGTGCACGCATCCCCCAGCTGCTGTGATGTTGGCGGCTCAAGGCTCACAGCTGTCCCTTTCCCCAAAGAATTGCCTTTGGCTGAACCAGGGGCTGCCTTGCCTGGTAGGTTTCCTCCAGGTGGGAACAAAACTGTGGGCAGCTCATGCTTCAGAGCTCCCTCTCCAGAAAGCTGAACCCTGACTCTAGTTGAGGCCAGAATTTTGCTTAGCTCCTCCTCTGTCCTCTCCTGTTCCCTCCCTCCCTTTCTCCTGAGAGTGTCCTTCAGTGGGCTGCATGAACTGAAGTTTCTCTGTTGGGCTGTTCTTTGAGCGAACCCAAGCAAAGATAGACCCCAGATCCAGCTAGTGTGGTTGAAATACGCTGTAATTTACTAGATGTGCCTACAAGTCAGGGACCCTTTAATTTCTTATTCTTTGCGTGGGTCCCTTGTGTTGCTCAAAACTAGAAACTATAGAAGACTTTGGAATCTTTGAATAGAAGAATTATGAAAACGTAAGACTTGGAATACAGGCTGTTGTCCCCAGCAGAGTCTAATATAGATACAAATTCACTATGAGGAGAGAAAGAAAGAAACAGTTAAGATTAAAATCCCGTAGTGATTTTAAGAATTCTGCTGGGGGTTGCAATAGCCCTTTATGTTGAAGGTTAATGGTGGTAACAGAATCCACTGTGATTTGGGAGGTTGACTATCAACTCTGAATTTTAAAAGACTAGCTGCAGGGCTGGCCCCATGGCCGAGTGGTTGGGTTCCAGTGCTCCATTTCGGCAGCCCAGGGTTTCACCAGTTTGGATCCTAGGCTCGGATCTAGCTCTGCTCATCAGGCCACACTGAGGTGGGTCCCACATAGGACAACCATAAGGACCTGCAACTAGAATCTACAACTACATACAGGGGTTCTTTGGGGAGAAGAAGAAGAAGAAAACAAGAGAGATTGGCAGCAGTTGTTAGCTCAGGTGCCAATCTTTAAAAAGAAAAAAAAAGACTAGTTGAAAATGCAGGACATTTTCTTTTCTCCATGGGCTTGGAAAAGAACAAAAATTAAGCGTTTTTTGATAGGTGTTTTTTATGTTAATAACTTCTTCATAAAGATTACGTTGTTAAAATTTTAATGACGCCTCTTTCTCTGCCTCCTCCTCTCTTTTTTCCCTCCTTCCCACCCTGTCTCTCTCCCCTCCCCCCCCCCATCTCTCACACACACAAGTGGGTGCTTTCTCTCTCTCATACCTTCTTTCAGAATGGCTTTCATCCAGCCTTGCCTATTTTTATTGAAAAAATATTAGCATTGCACTTTAGAAATGATTATTTCAAGCCCTTGGCCATTTGTAGGGTACCAATATATGAACAAATATATGAAATATATTTTTTGTTTTCAATTCTTTTATTGAAAGGGTATTTTCCAAATATGGTTTTACATATAATTTAATATCTGGAAATCAAATATATAAACTATGCCTTTACAGAATGCTTAAATAATATCTTTTTTCACATGGAGCTGTTCAGCCAGGGACATATTTGTAGATGATCTAGGAAAATTGAATATGATGTAGATATAATATTAAATTAATCCAGAAATAAATTACTGGAAAAAATTTCCTCATTTTTTTCTTAGAAAAAAATGCACATTTCTGACATTTATTTTCAGTTTGATATTCATTAAGTTGAATTACTCAGTTTGTAACTGCCGCTTTTCTCATTCACCATGCCAAGGCCAAATTGAATGATAAAATTAAACAGAAAATTATGTTTACTTTTCCATGATTTACTCATTTTGTTTTCCCTTGCATTCTGTGATGTATAAAAACGGGTAGGAACTTTTAAAAATATACGATTATTTCTTTCTAGAGTCCACAATTTATCAAGTATTTTGGAAAATTTATGAAGGTCTAAGTACCTTTGTCACATTTTTCCCATGATGTTTCTGCTGGGGTCCAAGACAGAGAGGAGAATCTTTGCCTTTTAAGACTACATAGTAGCAAAAGTACCAAAATTATCAAAAAGGAGCATATACTTTAAGTTTTTTCTGAAAAATCGTTTTTTTTTAAAGATTTATTTTTTTCCTTTTTCTCCCCAAAGCCCCCCAGTACATAGTTGTATATTCTTCGTTGTGGGTCCTTCTAGTTGTGGCATGTGGGACGCTGCCTCAGCGTGGTTTGATGAGCAGTGCCATGTCCGCACCCAGGATTCAAACCAAAGAAACACTGGGCCACCTGCAGCTGAGGGCGCAAACTTAACCACTCAGCCACAGGGCCAGCCGCCAAAAAATCATTTTTTAAGTACAACTTCCTTGATGACTCAAGAAATCTCAGTTTCATGTTGTTCCATTTTCAGTCATTTGTCCAGAGAGATAATATCTTTTTATTTTTATTTTTAACTCTTTTGGTAAGGCAGATTGGCTCTGAGCTAACATCTGTTGCCGATCTTCCTCTTTTTGCTTGAGGAAGATTGTTGCTGAACTAACATCTGTGCCAATCTTCCTCTATTTTATGTGGGATGCCACCACAGCATAGCTTGACAAGCAGTGCTAGGTCCTCATCCAGGATCCAAACCGGTGAACCCCGGGCTGCCAAAGCAGAGTACATGAACTTAACCACCATGCCACTGGGCCAGCCCCATGAATATCTCTTTAGATCAAAGTATTTATATCAGATTTCAGGTGTGAAATTCTATCAGGTTTTCACTATTCTGGATTTTGGAGTTTGTAATAGTAACTAATATAACCTGAACAAATACAATGTCAGTCAATCAATCATAAAAAATGAAAAATTGGGGCTGACCCGGTGGCGTAATGGTTAAGTTTGCATGCTTGTAGTTTGCAGGTTTGGATCCCTAGTATGAACCTAGCACCACTCCTCAAGCCGTGGTGTGGTGGCATCCCACATAAAACAGGAGAAGATTGGCACAGATATTAGCTCACTGACAATCTTCCTCAAGCAAAAAGAAGAAGATTGGCAACAGGTGTTAGCTCAGGGCCAATCTTCCTCACACACACACAAAAAGAAAAAGATAAGTCTTGAATTTTATTCTTAACTCAGGTTTAAATCTTACTTGCGATAATTCCCATCTTTTTGTCTTGAATTAATTCAAGTATCTTAGAACAATGACACAACAAAACATCAATACGCCTATAAATATATTTCATATTCTGTATGTGGAGGTGGTGTGATCTGTAAAGAACTCTTAGAGATCTCTTTCTAAATGGTATCTGGAGACCTGAGAAACTGTGTGACTTTGGGAAAGTCAATTTACCTTTTGGGGCCTCCATTTCTTCATCCATCTGAACACTGTGGGGAGTCGGCAGAGATGCCTGTATGCTTCAGCTTCTCTGAAAGGCTCAGCGTCCGTCTTGGCCTTGCTGGTAGAACAGTTGGAGTTTGTGTGATTGCAAGGGGAGCGGGGACTGGGCTGTCTGGGTTAACGGCTCCTCTGGGAGTGGAGCTTCTTCATTGTGAAGTCAGCATGTTCCAAATCCTCTTTATAAATCATTTCTATTAAAGATGCAGACATTCACTGCTACGCAAGACAAAATACCTTCAACTAGGTTTGCAATTCAGGTTTTAAGGTAAGTAGGGCAGACAGTGGAAGAAATGGGAAATTCATAAAAAGTCTCCTCTTTCTGTTCCCTTATGCATTCTGGACAATTAAAACCCTTAATGAGTGCTCCCATGATTCATTCCGTCACTTGTGTTGACACAGGAGGGTGTTTGCTGTGAGGCAGTCAGGCACGCAGGTGGGTTGTACCTACTCCAGTCACTTCCCGTCACCTTGTTGCCTCACTCAGCACTTGGAAGAGGAAAGGCTTAAAAAAAGGAAAGAAAACAGGGCGTGTGTGTGTGTGGAGTGTCTCCATGTTTGCTTTTCTGTTGAAGTTTTCTGAGTTAGTAAGTGAAGCAATGTTTGGGTGATTGGGTGTAAATAATGCTGATGGTAGTGATGATGAAATAATCCTACGTCTATTTTATGGTTTATAAAAGGGGAAATCATTTATTCACCCTGGAATGATGGGGTGGCGTGATGGCCCACAGGGAGATCTCTGGTTTCTCCCTCCAAATGGATTCTTACTTCTCTGGGGGACTCAAGCCCGTGCTGGCCTTGCGCTAAGGCTGTGCACCCAGTTCCACTTCTGGCTGGGTTCAGGTGTCAGCACTCTCCTAGAATTGCTTTTTCTTAACCAGCTGCTTGCAGCTTAGCAGTGTACCCAAGCACCATCATAAAATGCTCTTTAACTCCCTTTGTCTGTGTCCTGAAGCAACATTTCCCAAATGTTGATTTAACCTTGAAGCAATGTTTCCCAAAGTGTGATCCATAGAAAATAAGACCTGTTTCTCTAGTCAAATTCTCTCTCTCCCAGTTTCAAAGTGAATTTTAAATAAAACACTTTTGGAAATAATACTGTAAACCAATTTCTCAAATTCTCTAGTACTAAGACACCCAAGTCAATATATTTTGTATGTGTTGCAGATATATTTTTAAATATTAATTTTTATTTTTCACTAGAGCCTCATCTATGCCTCTTTTTTAAAAATTGCAGAAGTTTATTTATAAGGACATATCTTAGGAAAGCTTCTGCTTCAAAGGGATGGTCATATTTTACTTAATTATTCTTTGAGCTCAGTCACCAAGTAAACCCTACACAAAATAGATATCTTTTAATTGCTTTCCTATAAATGAACTAAAAATATAATTCTTTAAGATTAAATGGCTGAAAAGCACTTTTTAAAGTGAGCTGACTGTTGTTCTGCATTTTGAAAATGACAGAGCTCTTCCAAGGTGAGCTCCTGCAGCTGCACTTAACTTTCTAGGTCTTTTTCCACATTTACATCCCCGACATTGGATTATCCTGTAATTTTCTTTATAAATATGCGTACTTAACGTCGGTGTTTAAAAAATATTTTAACTGTATTTTGTGGCATAATTACTAAGTCATATTTTCCTGCGTATGTTACAGTTTAAACTATAACACAGTTTAAACAGAGTTTAAATCTTATCATTGTATATGGAGTCTTGTCATGGTGACCTCTCCTTTAGGTTAGTCAATTAATAGATAAATGGAGTGTTGCTAGAAGAAAGGGAACAAGGATTGTCTTCTTGCTCAATGTAAATATTGGGTGCTGAATAGCCTGTGATTTATTTGGAGTGAAAAATTGGGCCTTGTTTTTTCAGACACTGTCCCCGGTGACATATAGACCAAACATAAAGGAGATTGCGTAGTCTTAGTTCTAGAAATCTGGTGAGGCAAGGCCTTCTCTCTAGTGCTTTATCAGTTCTTGGACAAGGACTTCAGGGTTATGTTGAGTAACACATTCACTATCTCAGTCTTTTCTCCTCATTAAGGAAAAAAAAATTCTGCCATAACGTGATCCATGATTAGAGTTAATGCAGTCTCTAACATCTCCCAGATGTTTTAACGTCACTCACGTCACTTGCAGAGTTTATAAATGGGATTTGTCTACTGGCTTATTCTTTTTTGGAGCAAACATTATCTTTCTGCTTGACGGAAAAAAATCTAAATCAGAGACTCAGTGAGTTACTTAACATAATTTACAGTATGTTTAGAAACAGTGCTAAAATGCAGAGTAAGTAATCAATGGCACATTCTCATAAAGCATGCATTTGCACTCCGTAACAGAAATGTGATCGTGCCAGAATGACCAGATGTCTCTTCTTAATAGTATCCCGTTTTTTTATACTGTGCCTCAATTCCAACTTTTCACGACCATAAAATATTTTCCTTTTCCAAGACAGGGTTAGAAATAGCATGATCCCACCCTGGAAGAGCATATTTTTGCTGCATTGAGTTAGCAGTTTAATTTTCAAAATTGGTATCTTTGTCATGCTATTTTTAGGAGCACTTTACTATGGTTATCCTTTTCCGTGTTGTTTCAAGTTTCTGCGTTGAGTTTTGAGTTTTGTGTGTGTGTTTATGATGTAACTGGAACACCCTCCTTTTCTTTTTTGTTGTGTGTGCTAGGCACCCTACCTCAGGTGGTCAGAGATTTACATGTAGTAAGCGTGACTCCAACATAAGATCACTGGGGCTTAGAAGCCCCTGAATTCATAGATGAAAATGTAAATGAACAGCAAAATGAAAGTCCAACTTTCAAAGAAGTAATCATTGTATTAGGAGGTGGTAAGGATTTTCTGAGTTAGATTTAAGGAATAAGACAATAGTATCTTGCATTTGAGTAACAATTTAGTATTTTTATCATTATTGGTAGTTGTTTGTTTCTAGCTTTATAATTTATAAAGCAATATCTATGTGTTATCATGTTTAACCTTCATAATTAGTCTTTGAGTAAGGAAAAAATAAGTATTATCCTCCAATATACAGAAGAGAAAACTGAGCAGTGAGTGAGTGAGTGAGTGAGCCGCGAGCACATTTCTTCCCCTTCTTATGCTCGCTCATTGCTTCATGCTGCGCCTCAATCTCCACCCTGTGGACTTCAGTTCTCTTTTCAGAGTGCTCCCCACGTGTATGTACCACAGGAAACACAGCAACTTGGCACTCGCTGTGGGTCCTTTAGGGCACATAGGAAGTGTCATTCCAAGAAGAGATTTTAAAATGCGTGGTTGAAATGAAGCCTTCTGTTGCTTGGCTCTCCAAGATGATAAACACCAGATGCAGACCTTGATGGAACACTGATTATCCAGGCTGATGAGCACGTTACTTTGATTACAAGGACAGTGAACTTAGAGGCAGCGCTTGGGGAGGCCTTGGGAACAGTGGGAGACGTTGCAAATCCATTGCTCCCTCCACCCCAAAGAGTCATATGCCCACTCTGAATAGGATAGCTGACACCACCAGGTGTCACACACTCCTCCCCAAACCTTCACTGCCCACCAGCCAAAAGTCTCCAAAAAGAAGGCATTTGATCTTCATAATCTGAAAACTTGGCCCGACTTCCAGCCATTTCGGTAAAACTAGGGGCCATGTGTGTTTTTACTCTTCCTCGTTATACTCAATGCTTAGTGTGTTTTGGTTGAATGAATGAAGGATATTTCAAACCATAGACTATTCTATCCCAGTCAATACTGTTTTCATTTGCTTAATATTTAGAACTTCCAGTCCAGAATTCACATTCAAGAATTTTCTGTAAGGAGCTATGGATTTTGGGATCGATTCAAGATATCTTATTTTGGTCAAGTATCAAATATGTCTAATTTTAATTACATTTTTTTAACCCAAATAAAATGACTGACTGCAACTGAATTATTTTTAAGGATTCAGTTTGAAAATATAGATAAACATAATACGATAGTATTGAGAAAGAAAATAATGAAAGTTTTTCTGCATGGATGATCCAGACCAAAAGCATGTACAGTTATAGTTACTTAATTTTTTACTTGAATTGTCTTATGTAGGCACAGTTTACAAGTTACAATATAAAATTTAATCTGTGCATACACACATGCACTTCTAGAATTAATATATGTATACATGCACGATACCACATCATTGAAAGATTGTTTGGTTACTGTTTGTAAAAATTTTGCAACATCTATATACATGACTTAGACTTCCAAGTTTCACTTGACTGAAGCCGCCATACTGCCCTAGAGTAGGAAAATGTGGTCTCCAAAAGTAAGAATTGCTGATATTGATTTTTTTAAAGCCAGAATTGATTTTTGTTTTAAGGTATATTATTTTTTAAAAATCCTGTTGGATGTTAGGTGTTTTTTCCCTTAGATCTATGTTGAACATCTGTTAACTATTGGCTATGCATAGTAGATGATTAGAGCTACTTAACTGCATTATTCATGCTTAACATTCTTTTCTTTCTCTATGATAAAAGAAAATTTTAGATGCTTTCAATTATCCATATTTTTCAGCTAACAAAAACTTTAGCTCACTGAGGAAAACGTAAGTTGCTAGCTACAAATACCTTATTTTAAGGGGCAAGCTATGGATGGACTTAGAATTCTGTCATTGGGATTTCAGTCAGAATATAAGCCTGTGCAGATTTCATTCTGTAGTTGTCACCTACTAGCTATTTAAATTTGGGCAGAATCCTTAGCGTTCTGAGCCTCCGTTTACCCATCTCTAAAATAGGGACAATAACACCTTACTCTAAGACCCTTGAGATAATTTATTGAGAAGACATATGAAAGCAGCATGTGCCACATGTGCCACGAAGGTATTATAATTAGGAATTGGATTACAATTAGTAAATTAGTTACATGTAATGAGTAGAAGATATATTGCGTAAGAGAGATATTCTTGATGCTATTGTTGAATCATTGTTAGTTTTCCATGTTACTTATGTAAAGCAGTTGACTTCTTTCCTGTCGCCTATATATAAATAATCTTCTAGTCTTTCTATACAAATTGAAGGAGTGCCTCAAGAAGTTGTTAGCGCCAGACAGTCTATATGTAAGAATTATTTGCTTCAGAAACAAGAATTAGATACATTTAAGATAGTGTATTATTAAAATCGGGAAATATCAAGGAATAAATCACCATTCATATATTTATTCATTGGATAAATATTTATACCCTATTGTTTGTCTGGTACCTTTCTTGTATCTAAAGA